AATTTAAAATTGGACATCATAGATAAAAGTTACAGTTTATCAGCCACTAATTAATTTCTGTGTTCTGATTGCATGATACTGAGAAAATAATGGTACACAGATAAGAATTTACAAAGAATAACATAGTAACATTTTTTTTTTGCCTTAAGGATTTGCCTTTCAATCTTTAAATATTCTTTAAGTAAGGAGAACCAGAAATTCGAAAGAGAAATAACAGAGACTTTAACTTGTGGTCAAAAAGGAGTAACTAGACAAAACATATGAAACAATGGTTTTCAAATATTAGACATCAAGTAATGGAGTGATCCCTAAGAGATAGAAAATAAATTTGGCGAGCCTACAATTAATCAGTTTACTGTCTGGAAAAAATTTCCAGGCTGCAGTGCTGAGAAGAGAAATGCAAAAGGAGTCCAGCAGATTCCTTGACTTGAAGAGGGGCAGCTGAGAGTCAGAAAAGGCCAGTGAGAGTAGAGTCCATAAAACAGAGTACTTAAATACAGATGGCAGCACAGAGAAATAGCTTCAGAAATTTTCAGGGGTTTCTCCCTAAGTAGTCAATTCAGTACTCTCAGAATATGCATGTGAGAAAACTCATCAAGGCCAGGAAAAGAACCAACTGTTCTTGTCTAACCTAATAGAACAAACCTCAAAGGATCAAACAGTTTCTTAGCAACAGACTCTACTGCATTTTAGAACAATATTCACACTTATTTAAAGGAATACAAAAATATACAGCACCTGAGAAAGTAAAAATTCACAATGACTGTCATCTAATCAAAAATTTCTAGACATATAATAATGCAAGAAAATACAACCTTAAGGAGGAGAAAAATCAATTAATCAAAACTGACTCAGAAATGCCTGGATTATAGAATTAGCAGAGAAGAACATTAAAATAGTTACTATAACTCTATTGCATTCAAGAAGCTACATAAAGATTGAGCTTGCAAGGTAGAGATATGAAAGTGGCTCACACTTATAATCCCAGCACTTGAATATAATGATATAAAAGGATAATACTTCATGACCAATTGGAGTTTACCTTAGGAATGGAAAGTTGGTTTAACATTAAAAAAAAAATCAATCAATGTAATTGACTATATTAACAGAACCAAAAAGAATAAAGCTAGAGGCATCACAGTAACTGACTTCAAATTATACCACAAAACTATAGTAACCAAAACAGCACAGTACTGGGATTAAAAACAGACACGTAGACCAATGGAACAGAAAGAGAACTCAGAAATAAATCCATACATTTACAGTCAACTCATTTTCAACAAAGGTGCCAAGAACATACATTAGGGAAAGGACAGTCTCATCAATAAATGGTGCTGGGAAAACTGGATATCCATGTGCAGAACAATGAAATCATCATATATGTTTATCTCTCACCATATACAAAAATAAAATCAAAATGAACTAATGACTTAAATGTAAGAACTGAAACTATGAAACTACTAGAAGAAAAGATTGAAGAAACACTTCAGGACATTGGTCTGGGCAAAGATTTCTTTAGTACAAAAGCACAGGCAGCTAAAGCAAAAAGGGACAAATGAGATCACATCAAGCTAAAAAGCTTTTGTTCAGTAAAGAAAACAATCAACCAAGTATAGACAACTCACAGAATGGAGAAAATATTTTCAAACTACCCATGTGACAAGGGATTAATAACCATAATAGATAAGGAACTTCAAACAATTCAACAGGAACAACCCCCCCCCAATAATCCAATTAAAAATCAGCAAAAGCTCCCAAAAGATATTTCTCAGAAGCAGACATACAAATGGTCAACAGGTTCATGAAAAAATGCTCAACATCACTAATCATCAGAGAAATACAAATTAAAACTACAATGAGATATCATCTCACCCCAGTTCAAATGGCTTTTATCCAAAAGATGGACAATAATGAATGCTGGCAAGGACGTAGAGAAAGTGGAGCCCTCATACACTGTTGGTGGGAATGTAAATTAGTGCAACCACTGTGGAAAACAGTATGGAGGTTCTTTAAAAAACTAAAAATAGAAATACCATATGACCCAGCAATCCCACTGCTGGGTATATATCCAAAAGAAAGGAAATCAGTATATCAAAGAGATATCTGCACTCCCAAGTTTGTTGCAATCCTATTCACGATAGCCAAGATATAGAATCAACCTAAGTGTCCACTGACAGATAAATGAGTAAAGAAAATGTGGGATATATACACAAGAAGTATTCTTCAGCCATAAAAAGGAATTAAATCCTGTCACTTGCAACAACATGGAGGTCATTATATTAAGTGAAATAAGCCAGGCACACAAAAGACAAATATTGCACATTTCCACTAATATGTGGGAGCTAATAAAAGAAAAAAAGAAATTGAACTCATGGAGATAGAGAGTAGCATGATAGTTACTAGAAGCTGGGAAGGGTAGTGGGGAGGGCGGACAAAGACAGGATGGTCAATGGGTGCAAAAACACAGTTAGATAGAAAGAATAAGATCCAGTGTTTGATAGCCCATTAGGGGTGATTATAGTTAACAATGATTTATTCTATATTTTAAAATAACAAAGAGGGGAATTGAAATGTTCCTAACACAAAGAAATGATAAATGCTTGAAGCAATGGATACCCCAATGACCCCAATTTGATTATTATACATTGTATGTTTGTATGAAAATATCACATGTACCCCATAAATATGTACAACTGTTATGTATCCATAATTAAAAATAAAAAATTTTAAAAAGAGCCCCAAATGAGAAAATATTCATAGAAAATATATCTGATGAAGACCTCATTTTTAGAATACATAAAGAATTTTTACAACTCTGTTTTTTTTTTTTTTTTTTTGAGACAAGGTCTCACCGTGTCACCCAGGCTAGAGTGCTGTAACATCATCATAGCTTACTGCAACCTCAAAATCTTGGGCTCAAGTAATCCTCCTGTCTCAGCCTCCCAAGTAGCTGGGACTGCAGTTGGCTAATTTTAATTTTTGTTAATACAGGATTTCACTATGTTGCTCAGGCTGGTTTTGAACTCCTGGCCTTAAGTGATCCTCCTGCCTTGGCCTCCCAAAGTGCTAGGATTAGAGATGTGAGCCACCGTACGTGGCCCTTATAATGCATTAATAAGACACCAATGCAAGAAAAAAATAGGCAAAAGATTTGAACACATACTTACTAAAGAAGATATACAAATGTCATGTAAACATGAAAATATGAGCAATATAATTTATTGTTAGGAAAATACAAATTAAACTCACATTATACACCTATTAGAATGGCTACAATTTATACAAACCTTCCCACACTAAGTGTTGGTGGGGATATGAAACAACTAGAACTCTCATTTATTGCTGGTGGGACTAGAAAATGGTTAAAAACCATTTTGGAAATTTTGGCACTTTCATAAAAGGTTAAACATAAAAGTGCTACAAGACCCAGTTACTCCACTCCTACGTATTAATTAAATGAAAGCATATGTCCATGCAAAGATTTGCACACAAATGTTCTTAAAGGCTTTATTTATGACAGCCCCAACTGGAAACAACCAAAAGTTTATTAATAGGTGATGGAATATTTTTCAACAATGAAAAGAAATGAAATATATGTGCAACAACATGGATGAATTTCAAAGTAATTATGTGTCATGAAAGAATCCTGGGAAAATAGCACCAATGTATAATTCCATTTACATAAAACTCCAGGAAATGCAAATTAATCCCTAGTGACCAAAAGCAAATCAGTGGTTGCCTGGGCATGTTGGGAGGTAAAGGAGGAGGAGGATACAGGGACGTAAACACAATTCTGGGAGTGACGGGTATGTTCATTGTCCTGCTTGTGGTGCTGATTTCATGAATATATGCATATGTCAAAATTTGTCAGATTTTATATCTTAAATACATGGTGTTTCTTATGTGGCAGTTATAATCAATAAAGATGTTGTAAAAAATTATTGTGAATATTTTGAGGCTGAATCACTAGCACTATATTCTCCTTCTTTAACATAAACAGAAGAGTCAGATAAGAAACAGCCAAAAAGCATAATCAGTTCTAAAATGGTTTTTAATGCAATCCTATTACCGTGCTCCATCTTAACACATGTACTTGTTATTGCAAAATTGCATATTACACATTGATGAGAGCAGATGCACCCATACTATTGCAGAGTACTTGCACAAAATCTTTTACAAGTGTAGACATGCATAGGATTGTATTTTTAGAAAGAGTATTGCATTACTGAAGGAAAATGAAAATATATGTCCACTCAAAGACTTGTACTCAAATTCTCATAGATGCTCTATTCACAATAGCTCCAATTGATAAGTGCAAAACTCAGTGATATTTCAGACAATGAATAAACTATAACAGGCATAAATCTCAAAAACATTTTTTTTTGAGGTATCTTTGGAAAATTTAATTTGGACCATATTTTCTTCCTCTTGCTGAAAACATCAAATATCCCAATACATTTTGGGTTCCACAGCTTACAAAGGGGCAGTGGGTTTCCCGCAGTTACATACCGTATCCAACTTTCTATAGAAAGATAAGACATTTTCCAACCTTGCTTCTGCGTATTTCTAAAAAAAATGCTTTAAAGGTTCCTTACAATAAATGCGAAGTAAAACAAAGTAAGGCTTTATATTCTCCTTTTCCCCTTTTTATGTACTGCGTGTTGGAGGAATAAGGAAGGAAGACTAGTTACGTCAGTGTTGGTACCCTGGGGATGGCTGCTGGGTCCTCCGAGGTGCACCCATATCACTGAGGCCCAGACGCACCCCTGCACTGAGGAACCTGAGAGGGACAAGTGCAGCCATGAGGGACTGTCACAGCACAGGTGGGACTGGGGACTGCCCGGTTCTTCTCAGTTCTTCTCGGTGCTCACAGGGCTGCTGGCTTTCAGGAATAACAAAGGAACTAGGACCAAATCATGACCAGAGGTCTCCCACCTGGTACAGCAGTACCACAGGTTCATTTTTGTGGGCTTACAATGTACGTTTACAGACTGAATAAATTTACTGGAAATATAACAAGAGAAAAATGCCTTTACTAATTCCTGTATCAAATTACTAGAATGAAAATAAAAGGTTTTGTCTGATAAAACACATTTTCTATGTCAAATGAAAACAACTCCCTTGCAAGATAATCTTAGTAATATATATGTTACTATATATTTTCTCATGGTACACAAATTTCTTTAATTGTATCAGCTGAACAGCTTTGTCATTTTTCATACTTGTAGTTTCGTTAGTTTAAAAAAGGGATAAGGCAGCCAAATCTAACTAATTTTGGTTGCAGAAAAACATCTCAGACATTAGCCTTCATCTTCTTGAGTGTTAAGAGTACATGATGAAAAGGTAATCAAACAGTTTCTTCTCTTAACAGGAAACTAAGCAGCTATTATCATCAAATGTACCTCTAGTAAACACAGGGCCCCCTCATAAATATAAAATTAAATTCTTTTGAGGAATAGGTTTGTGATTTTAGTTATGTAGGATTTACATTTATTTTTTATGTTTTATAGTAAAAAATGTGTGGTCTTCACTTCACATCTTCATTTTCATAGGCTAGTGATTTCTTTATCTCAGCAGGCTCTCACATACAAATGGCAGGCTGGGGATTCGGCTTGTTTCAGAAAGGGGAGGCAGCCACATGGCATGTGCTCTTAGAATCCTTGCAAAAACTCCTGTAGCTGGGTGACAATCTCTGTGTCCACTGTCTCCATGAGGGACTGGAACCCTTGTTCTCCCAGTAGCTCCTGCTGCGCCTTGAGCTTCTCGTAGACGAACTGCTGCAGTGACACCGTGTGCACAGGGTCCTTCAGTGCCAGCATCTTTTTCCTCTTATCTTGTTCTGTGGGTGGTTCTTCATCTTCCATTACTTTTGGTTCCTCAAGATGAGACATCAACATACAGTCTTTGTAAGTTCCTGTTTCAGGATCTTCCGTCATGACATCATGCAGGCCTTCCACTGAGATGTTTATAATACCACAGAATTTATCCTGGATAACACTATTATCAGATGGCAGAAGAGAAAGCAAAGCCAAAGCTGAAAGTTTTCTTCTTTCTGGCTGGGTAATGTTGTCCATTCGATCAACCCACATTTCAATCATATTTCCCAAAAGCTGGTCCATCTCCTGATTAAACTTATGTGCCATCTCATTAAGAAGTGAAGAGAAGAAGCTGGCATTTTGTAATAGGACTCGACCCATAACTCCAAGATAGGTGGACATCACTACAGGATACCTCTCTCCTTCTATAATACCCCTGAAAACACAGGGTAAAATTGGTTGAAACATTTGTGGACCTAATACTAGGTTCACTTTAAGGGCATTTTCCACAACCTTGAGCACTTGAACTTGACCTTCTGTAGTAATTTCCTTTAACAGCTCACAAAAGGACTGACACAGACCTACTGCATATGTCTGTAAAAATTCTGTTGATGATAAAAAGATATAATCATTGATGATCTTAAAGCAGGTTCTGAGATTTTCTGAACTTAGTTCAAGAAGGGGAGACATATTCTGAAATATACGAAGCAACTCTGGTGTAATACATGGGCTGTTTTCCAATGTTACTAACCATAATTCTAAACCATCTTCCAGAAGATAAACATGTGGAGGCTGGGAAACATCTGTACTCAGTTGAATAACTGGGAGCAGGAAAGGGTACAGGTTCTTGCTGTCTTCTCCTAATCCCTGCACAAGATGAATAAGTGTCGTCAAAATAGCACATCTCAACATATTGTGTTCTTCACTCTGCTTCCAAAAAAGGGGCAAATATTGCACCAAACATCCCACATATGGTCGTATCTGCATGTTGACTCTTTCAATCACACAGGAAAGGACATGCAAAACGTGCATCTTTGTGTCACATTCTGTAACTTGCTGTAGTAACTGAAAAAGTAGTGTGAACATGGTTTCCAAATACGGTAGAAACTGGTCTGTTCTAAATTCAAAATCATCAACAGTTAACTTCAAAGTTGTAGCTGTTTCAATACGGACCACTAAATCTTGATCTTGAAGCAAGTTACAGATTGCCTCATACAGCATGGGTCTTAAGTCAGACTTGAATTTCACAGAAATCCACTGACCAATGAGCCAAATCACCCTGCGTCGCAGTGGCTTATACCTATTGTGAATGACTTGTAATTCTGGAAGAAGCTGGTTTTTAAACCACTGATCAAAATCAACGCTGTCAAACAGTTCATAAGCAGCTAATCCAACAGCATTTTACACAGCATCTTTAATTAACAGTGCATTCATATCTTCCACATTTGTGGGCCCCTGAAGTGTTTGCATCATTTCTAGAAGTACAGGAGTAAGAGTCTGATTATATTCATGGAATATATCTATAAAAAGGACTTCAGTGCATGGCCTCAAACTATATTTCCAAGAATCTCCTCCTGTTTCTTCCACTGTAAAGCCTTCTGGGTCTTCTTCCCACATTGTCAGTTCTTCTTCAGTTAATAGAAAATAATGAGAGACTAATCTTCTACATATCTCTGTCAAAGTGGGATATGTGAAGAATGCCATCTTAATCTTATGGGCTTCAAGAGTTTCAGGACTGCTATCTTCAAAATTTTTGGATGGCTTATAAGCATAATTTTTGACAATCATCTTAATAAGATTCATGCACTGGACAATGAATCGTTCAAATGTAACGCCTTCACCAATTTCCGTAAAAACATAGCTTACAGAAAATTCCAGTGATCTCTGAATTAGAGGTTTAAATGAAAAGGGATGCTGATCCAAGAAGTCCAACAGCACTTTAGTAAAAAGAATGATGGTCTTTTCCAGTCTATCTCTACACATATTATCTGTACCTATATTTCTACTGCATTCCAGAAACTGTTTAAGACGTTCAAATATTCCATGTAAAAAACCCATCACCTCTATATTCTTATGAGGTTCCACAAATCCATTAACAGTTAACTTACGCAGCACTTTCAAGGATAGTAGAGTTCGTTCTAGTGCACTTAGAACTGCAGCTTCATTGCCAGAAGAAACTTGTTGGAGGAATGTGTCTGTATGGTGATTCCACAAAGAGCAGGCAAAAGTATAAATTCCAGAAGCTAAATCATAAAATAATTTTCTATCAGCAGCGAGTCGTTTAGATGCCAGTGTCTTGGTAACATGATAGAAGGTAAGTAATGCTCTGTGCTGTCGAAGATCATCCTGGACTTTAACAGACTCTATAAGAGTGGGAATCAGTTCAGGCCACTGTCTGGGACAATCCAACCTAGCAACTTTTGCGATCAGCACTGCAATTTGAGTTGCAATCTGGTTTATTGGTTCATTGAAGTTGGTGATGAGCCTTGCACGCAAAGTAGTTTTCTCCTCCTCTGAGAGAGCATGGGGTGCTACACGTCTCCAGTAGCGATCAATTCCATTTTTAAAATACAGAATAGCAAGCCACCTTACATTTATATCCAGTGTGTGGTTTGTGAAAATATTCAACAACACTGAATAGAAACCAGGCTGGGTCTCCCACTGTTTCAACTGCTCCTCAGCTGGTTTTAACACAGTAGTATCCTGACTGGTGGCCTGTGTTAAGACCTGAAGAACAACAGTGCTGGCACTATTGAGATCCATGGAAACCTTGCCAAGGCCACAATCTAGTAAGTGGTACTGCTTGGACTTGAACACCAACACCACTGGTCTTAATCAGTATCCGTTTGGTTCGGTCCAGAATTGCCCGGCCCTCCTGCTCCCACTTCCCAATACGAAGTGGCGTCGGTTGGTCCCGCGCCCCACGCTGCCAGTCCACACGCCGCCGCCTACTGATGCCGAAAGCGGCTTCAAAAACATTTTTCTAAGTGAAAGAAATTAGACAAAAATACCATATACTCTATAATCCCATGCACATGAAATTCCAGAAAAGCCAAACCAATCTGAGTACAATGAGGCACATACAAATTTGGAAGGTGATGGGAATATTCTATATCATGATTGTTGTGGTGGTAACATAGCCATGTATAATTGAAAAAATGTATTAAGTTGTTCAGTTAAAAGTGATGAATTTAATTGTATACAAATTAGACTCAATGAAATTAACAGAAAAAGAACATCAATTCTATATTTAAAAGAAATTACTATATATGCATAGAAAGGATGGGAGAGAGTCTCTTGTTATTATGATCTGTCCTCTGGGTTAGTTCCAGTCCTGAGGTTTGTCTGAGCCTTAAATTTGTTTTGCTCTTCGATTCTGTATTGCAAACTCTTTTTCGGGCTTTGTAACATCTCTCTTCTCCTACCTCCTGGTTTAGTGTTGCTGTTCCAACCTGACTGATCTCACTGTTCATTAAAATGCCCATTCTCGTCTTTTTTTTCCTTGCTATTCACCTACTTAGGAAAGGGCTTCCTTTTTCTTTTTACACTCTAGATCACGGGTCCTCAAACTTTTTAAACAGGGGGCCAGTTCATTGTCCCTCAGACTGTTGGAGGGCCATTGGAGAGTGCAGTGCACATTCCACACATGCGCACTGTGGGCCCAGGATGAGTCAGCTGCTAAGCAGGACAGGCAGTGGAGGCAAAAGCACCCTGCGGGCCGCATAAATGTCCTTGGCGGGCCGCATGTGGCTTGTGGGTAGTAGTTTGAGGACTCCTGCTCTAGATCCTACATACCCAACAAGTCCAGCTCCAGTTCCAGTTTTAAGAAACCTTTATCAATTACTAGCCCCCAAATTATTGCCTCTTCCATCTGACCCCTTCTAGTAGTTGAACACTTTCATTATGGATCCATTTTTAAACTGCTTGATGAATATATATACATCTGTAGTACTCAATAATCAGCCCCTGTGGGCAGAAAATAAAATGTGTATTCAAATCGATGTGAATTGAGGAAAAGCTTCCCAAGTAGAATTTGGGATTTCCTCCACCCAGAACTGCATTTTATATACTACCTCTATTTTCTCTCTCTACCAGGTTATTTTCTGTTTAAAAAGGGCCTAATGAAATATTTGTGACCTTGGGTTAGGCAATGGTTTCTTACACAAACAACCAAAACAACAACAAAAAAATAAGATCATCTGAACATCATCAAAATTAAAAACATTTGTGCTTGAAAGGGCATCATAAAGGAAGTGAAATGATAACCCACAAAATGAGAGAAAATTTCTGCGAATCAAGTATTCTATGATGGATATCTATTAATAGAATGTTTAAAAAAACTTATAATTCAATAATAAAAAGACAATATAATTTAACAAATAGGCAAAGGATCTGATAAAACATTTCTCCAAAGAAGATATATAAATGGCCAATAAGTACATGAAACGATGTTCAATATCATTAGCCAACAGGGAAATGCAAATCGAAACCACAATGAGGCCAGGTGTGCTGGTTCATGACTGTAATCTCAGGGCTTTGGGAAGTCAAGGTGAGAGGATTGCTTGAGGCCAGGAATTTGAGACCAGCAAATGTAGTGAGACACCTTCTCTAAAAAAATTTTTTAAAAAAATTAGCCCAGTATGGTGGTGCATGCTTGTTAGTCTTAGCCACTTGGGTGGCTAAGTCGGGATGATTGCTTGAGTACAATAGTTCAAGGCTGCAGTGAGCTCTGATCCAGCCACTGTACTCCAGCTCGGGCAACAGAGTGAGACCCTTTCTCTTAAAAAAAAAAAACAAAAAACACACACGCACAATTAAATACCACATCATATCCACTCACCCACTAAGATGGTTTTAATGAAAAGAGACAATAACAAGTGTTGACAAAAATGCAGAGAAATAGGAACTGTCATATATTACTAGTGACAATATAAACTAATGCAGTTGCTTTGAAAAACCCTGGCAATTTCCAAAATGTTTAAGGATAGAGTTTATATTTATGAACCAGAAATTCTAAACCTAGGCATATACTCATGAGAAATATGTTTATACAAAACTCTTGTGCATGGATGTTCATAGTAGTGTTATTCATGCTATCCAAATAGTAGAAACAAAGGTCTGGCGTGGTGGCTCATGCCTGTAATCCTAGCACTCTGGGAGGCAGAGGAAGGTGGATTGCTCAAGGTCAGAAGTTCAAAACCAGCCTGAGCAAGAGTGAGACCCCGTCTCTACTAAAAATAGAAAGAAATTAATTGGCCAACTAAAAATATAGAAAAAAATTTAGCTGGGCATGGTGGCACATGCCTGTAGTCCCAGTTACTTGGGAGGCTGAGGCAGAAAGGATTGCTTGAGCCCAGAAGTTTGAGGTTGCTGTGAGCTAGGCTGATGCCACAGCACTCTAGCTCTCTGTCTCAAAAAAAACCAAAAAACAAAAATCACAAAATGGAAACAACACAAATGTCTCCCACCTGATGAATGGATAAATAACATGTTGTATATTTATATAATGGAATATTGTTTGGTAATAAAAAGAATTGAAGTATTGATCCATGTTACAACATAGCCTTGAAAATCTTACGCTAAGTGAAAGGAGTCAGTCACAAGGGATCACATATTTTATGATTCCATTTATATGAAATGTCTGGAATAGGCAAGTCTATAGGGACAGAAAGTGTGTTTGCCTAGGGCTGGGGGAATGAAGGGATGGGGAGAGTGACAGCTGAGGAATATGAGGTTTCTTTTTTGAGGTAATAAAAATGTTTTGGAATTGATTGTGGTAAAGGGTGCAAACTCTGTTGATATATTAAAATCCATTGAATAGTGCACTTTAAAAGACTCAACTGTATGGTACATGAATTATATCTCAATAAAGCTGTTAAAAAAGTCAAACTTCACTTTATTCAGCTATTCTCACCCCAAACCCCCAAACGCCATTGAATATTTCTTTGTAGTGGATACTGTGATGCACTGCTCAGCCCCAGACTTTAAGCACTGAAGGAATTATTCTCACAGCTTCTGAGGGTGTTGATTGCTGGTGGCTCACAGCTGAGTCTCCCTCTGGGAATTGCCTTCAGCTGATGAAACTGCTCCTCTAAGGTTACACCGCAGCCCAACCACAGCCCACATCAAATGACCACTCAATGTGGGTGTGTAAGGGCCTCAATTCAGGACTTTGCTGAAGGGTCCTCTCAGCTCCAGAGCTCCCTATAGGATCATTTGCATGAGGATCACAGTTTAATGCTTCCCTTACTCTCTTACAGGTGTTCTTGCTAGCACTCCCCAATAAGGCACCCCTGTGCAAATCTCTATCTCAGAGGCTGTTTCCCAGGGAGCTCAACTTAAAACACCCTACCTTGAATGACTGTGACTGAGTCTTACCACCTTTTTACAAATGGTCCTCATCAGTAATATGCCAGGTGCTCAAAATGTTAGATGAATTCATTTGTTCTCTAGAGACTGACTGGTTTGCCAGGTGGAGAATGATTCTATGGATAACAGCTGTTTGTCTTCTAGTTGATCCCAGAATGCAGTTATTTCCCAAGGTTCGGTCCTCTGACTCTCTTTTTGTTCTGTACTTTGGGCAAACTCAACCATTTCCAAATAGACCTTCCCAAATAAATCTTTCTGCTGGTGAGTGTCAAATCCTTACTAGGTTGCTAGGCACTCCATTTGCCTGTCCTGTGTACTCTTAATTAAGATTGAATGCGAGTCTGTGCTGGGCCTAAGATTGAATGCGGGTCTGTGTTGGCAGAACTGAGTGATAGTGAGGGGTGAAGGTGAAGCATTCTGGGTGGGCCCCTTAGATCCAAAGAACAGAGCAGAAGTCAAACATGAAAAGCACCTGGAAGCTTGTAAGAGAAGGTTGGGGCAGAGAGGAAATGCAGGTATGATGAACTAGTTATATGAAATAGAAGTGCTAGCTGAGACTTGCAGTTTAGGATTGAGGGGTAGGAAAATTGCAATCAGAGCAGTTAGAAATTGTGACTTGAAGCATGATCTGTTTCTACTAAGCAGCCAGGAGTGTTTATCCCTGAAAATGTCAACTGTGGTGAGTGTCACCACAACCTCTAATCAACAAACTATTGATAAAGCAAAACTCACTGTCCTATTTTAACTTGCTATTCCTAAATATCATTTATCAATTCAATTTGATAGTTGATTTATTCAATATCATTGAATAATCACCACAATCAATTCAAAAACATTTATCAATTATCATTTATCAATTACCGGCCCCACTCTTGTTCTAGTTACTCTCAAAATATTCGCAAAATCTCTGACCCTTCCATAGACTTTGCTCCTCATATCCAAAAGATTTTAATATCTTTGTGAATCTTATTGTTTCTCAGATTTGATTGCACTGAGCCATAGCCAATGCTGCTTTAGTGTGAGTTGAATTTTGGTTTTCATTAAACAGATACTTATTAAACACTTGCCCTGGAACAGGTAACATTCTTAGTGCTAGGGCTGCAGCAAAGAATGACATTACACATGCCCCTCAGCTGATAATCTAAAGGAAGAGATAGATGTTAATAAAACAGTTATATAAATCAATGTACAATTGCAACTGTGATATGTGCTAGCTAGGTAGTGGAGATAAATAGTTCCATAAGTGTTTTAACAGAAAGATTTTGGTCTAGAAAAGAGATCTCTAGAAAAGAGATCCTTGAATATGTAAAGGTATGAAGAAAGCATAGATAGGATACATGATAAACAGGCACTGGTTAGATAAGGAAAGGGGTAAAGGGTGTTCTTAATAGAGGGACAGTTTGTGCAAAG